ACATATGAAACAAGTCCATAACATTGGGAAACCTGGCTAGTATAAGCTCATATTTAATCCTGTAAAACCAATTAGCATTAACTTTCAACAATAACCTAGTGGTGTTAGAAGGAAAGTGAAAACAACAGGCAGGAGGCATACCTCCTGGAGAAAGGAAGCCTAAGGAATAGTATTGACATTATGTTGACAATATCAGGCATCACAAATTGATATAAAACCAATTGTAGGATAACAAACCACAGGTTCTTTGTAAGCTTTTCAGCTGCATGTCGTGCCACAGCATGCCCAACCTAATTAAGAAATGACCCAAAAAAAAAAGGTCTCAAACCCAGTAAAAACAAAATAGTAAATGACCAAACTTTAAGCACCAATCCACTCAAATTAGGGTTGCACTTCAAGAAACTCTGACAAGTAATTTAAGTAATACTCTCTCTGTTTTTAAATATCTGTTGTTTTACACAAATTTTTTTGTTCCATAATATCTGTCGTTTAATCANAGGGTTGCACTTCAAGAAACTCTGACAAGTAATTTAAGTAATACTCTCTCTGTTTTCAAGAAACTTCAACACAATTTTTTTTGTTCCATAATATCTGTCGTTTAATGAAACCAAAGCATAATTAATATTTTTTCTTCCAAATTTACCTTTAACTTTTCAATGCATTAGATTAGGTGGAGGCTAAGTGTCTTTCATATTCCTTTCCTTCCCAATACTTATTGAAAAAGGGTATTTTAGTCTTGTGCAATTATTTTTTACTCATATTAGAGCTATTTAATAGCTCCCTTAATCCCTATGTAAAAACCTTAAACGACAAATATTTAAGAACGGAGAGAGTAACAAAGATAAGCTACAAACATAGATATTATGAATTTAAATTTTAGCAATCTTTTAAAATTAGGTCATAAAGAAGTTATCTCTCGTGAATACCTTAGTCTCATCGTAGATAGTCTACCTTTAACCTGACANGACAAATATTTAAGAACGGAGAGAGTAACAAAGATAAGCTACAAACATAGATATTATGAATTTAAATTTTAGAAATCTTTTAAAATTAGGTCATAAAGAAGTTATCTCTCGTGAATACCTTAGTCTCATCGTGGATAGTCTACCTTTAACCCGACAAANTAGATATTATGAATTTAAATTTTAGCAATCTTTTAAAATTAGGTCATAAAGAAGTTATCTCTCGTGAATACCTTAGTCTCATCGTAGATAGTCTACCTTTAACCTGACAAAAAAAAAATTAATCGAAGTACGCGTTAATTGATCTCGACACCTCTAACTATTGAGCCGAAGCTTGAGATCGACTCGAAAAAACAACTCGTGAACATAATTTAAAACACTATTCATTCTCTTTTTTAATTTAAACATTAATTTAAACTTGAGGTTAAACTCAAACACAAACTATATTTGTTTATAGACGACTTGGGCTCTTGGTTGAATAAAAAACTAACAGATTGTACTTAAATAAAATATTTAAAACTCGACGTCATAGTCCTGAAAACAAAAAAATAAATAAGAGGCAAAACCTACTTCATGCTCAAGTACGGTTGCAATCTCTTCAGCCAACCTAAAATGTTGAAGCAGCCCTGTAAACATAACAATCTTCCCACCAGGTAAACAAAATGCATTAATGACAGGTTCATCCACCACCAACACCTCCCAATTCAATCCCTCCAAATGCCTCGTCTCTGGCCACAACCCCTTCTCTTGCCCCTTTTTCCTACTCGGTCGAACCCAACCATCATCAAGAACCCCATCTTCTCTATGCCACTTCCCCTCCGAACTGTCCCTCAACGCCATTAAAGTCCCATGCCCACTTATCTAATGAGCTCCAATACCCTCACACGGATATGTAGGATCATTCCACATCTGTTCTTTCCTCAACTCTCTCTGTAAGAACAATTTCAATTATGCTATATAAAATAGTTATTTAAAATATATTTAAATATTATATTATCTACTTTAACTAACCATTTTTTCAAATTTATTCCAACAATTTTATCTATTTTAACTAACCACTTTAACTAACTTTAATTAACTATTAATTATTAAAATCTAAAATACTATGTAGTATATCATGTCATCATCATATTGATAACATCACATGCTGACGTGTTACGCCACGTCATCAAAATTTTAAAATTTAATTTTTATTAATAACGGTCATATTTACAACAGTTACGAAACTCAAAATTTTAAAATTTAAATTTTTCAATGGTCATACTTACAACAGTCATATTTTTGGATATATATAAATATGATCTTTCATCTCTCATTGTCATACACCTTAAATCTATTTATTGGCATTGCACTATTCTTTGTTTTTATGTTATGGCTCGTCATCTTACAATGAACATGATTCTTAAAGATTCAGACTCCGACGATGAATTGGAGATGGTAGTAATTTGTGCTATTGAAATGAACAAACTCAATAAAAAAGAGTTTGTCTATTAATAAAAAAGAACTACCCAAGATTTCTATTTGGCGGTGCTGATAATATTCAGCTTGCAATAAAGGCATACAACTCGTATTCATCGACATTATTTATTTTTCCTCTATTTGTTGCTCCATTTGCATTTTTTTTTTCTCTTGCAGTAGACGTTGTTCTTGAAGATAACATTTTTCAAACATTTCAAATTTCTTCTCATTAATTATTTTTTTCTCATTCTTCATCTCTACTAACAGATTAACGAGTTCAGAACTTGTTGCATCACCTCCAACTTCTTTACTCTTTGATTTTTGTAGTCGTACTTTCTTAGCTTTCCTTCTAGGTGGCTTATCTAAAGATCCATAGGACCCACCATAATCTCCTTAACTTACGAAGTCCGCTATAGAAGATACGGAGCTGTCAGGAATTACATTATGTTTTATTTTTTACTTCTTTGCTTGAGAATCCTCCATCCATTTTGGTTGATACCTTAACTCATTCCAACAATATTCAAACTAAAAAGAAGATTTATTTATTCCCTTGTACAAGTTCCTGGCATCACGAATCTGAAAAATTTTACAACAAAACTCATTATCATGTCATTAAAAGTGCGCCATTTTATAAGAAAATATTCACTCATACCTTGTCTTTCTCTATCAAACCACTTTGATTCAGTCTTTCTATTTGTGCAAAGTACCAGCAAAATTTGTTGGTGGCTAGCTGAATTACCGACTAACGATTCATCAAAGAATTTTGACTACGACTAGGACATGTCTTAAGNAGTCTTTCTATTTGTGCAAAGTACCAGCAAAATTTGTTGGTGGCTAGCTGAATTACTGACTAACGATTCATCAAAGAATTTTGACTACGACTAGGACATGTCTTAGGTCTATATTCGTAGAAGAACTCGCAACCTTTTGTCAATATGTCTTTGATTTTTGCTCATTTTCTTGCACAGCATCCAAACTAATATTAAGCCACACCAAAATTATCATAATGTCTTCCTCTGCTGTAAAATTGTTACCTCGTTATTTTTTGATGGTAAATTCTATTTGAAAAGATATTGGTGAAGATTGACCTATAACCTCATCATCTAAATTTGTTCCATCATACATGAGATTAGTGAAGTACGCACCATGTTGAAATGGATTCATGAGTAATGCCTATAAGATGAGACAAGTAACACCATAGTTGGTCACATAAACAGCTCCACCAAAGGTTATGTATGTATGTTCTGTTAGGCCATCAACAAAACAGAGGATTGCTCATATTGTATGAGGGGTCAAGAAGTAAACCATGAACTTTATGAGGAAAGAGCGAGTAAAAAATGGTTCCCATACAGGAAGACCGTGCTGCATGAGCAACACAATTGCACTAGAGTGCTGTGTGATGTTGTACCTAAAGAAGTTAAAAATAATTACATGATAAATACAAGGCGAGTATAAATTTTATGCTTGATAATGATGGTGTTCATCCAGCATATAGTCATTGAAACCTTTTCAGATTGTCCACTTACACAAAAATAATAGACCCATACATTCCCTTCTACAAACTAACAGCAATGGACATCCAAGGCAACTCCAAATAGAACTGAAAATATAATTGTAAAAACCTTACAATTCAACACCTCTTATGCATAATGAAGTGAAAAAACAAAGTTTATGGAGTAAATAACAGTAATTCACAAATCAAATTAAATCATGAGCAAGAAGGGATCCTTATCCCCTCAATTAAATGAATAGGGAACTAATATGATGCATTTGATGGTTACATTGCAAAAAAAAATCGATGAGTTGGAGGAATTAGAAAGCAATTAAATTCGAGATCCATTTTTACTGCTAATTTAGTAAATAACCTCCTAATTGCAGCTTGACTTTGAATCACAATGCATTGAGAATTTGCTAAAAACGTAGAAATGAGAACATATTTGGAACATTATGAAAACAGGAAGCAAGGGAAAAAGGAAATTAACGAAGGAATGGACAATCAACANATATTTGGAACATTATGAAAACAGGAAGTAAGGGAAAAAGGAAATTAACGAAGGAATGGAAAATCAATAGCCAAACAGGGTCTTCTCCTTCACAAACTAAATGTTGATAGAATTAAGGAAAATCAACAGAATAACAATCTTCCCCTTCACAAACTAAACCGACGACAATCAATGGCACCAATCAATAGATCCAACGATTCCAGATCCCAAAAACATAACTATTGAACCAAAAACATTACAACCCAAACCAGATCCAACGATTCAACGACAACTATTCAATCGACGATAATAGATTCGCAGTTATCAACACAACCCAAACCAAGAACAATCAACAACCAACAACAACTTCATCGGTGGAGAGACCATACCTGCTTTGCGATGAAGCCTTCAGTTCAGTCGGTGGAGAGAGAGAGAGGGGGAGTGAAGAGGAATTTGGCGCCAAGCGAGGGAGAAGGGGCTAGCTAGATCAAGCGAGGGAAAAGGGGATTATTGGAAATAGATAAGGGTATAGATAGCCTGTTGGAGCCATTTTTTGGAGAGAAGTTATCTAAAATAAAATAGTTAAGAAGGGTTTTAACTAGCCTTTTGAAATTGCTCTAAAGCTTCGATTATGTCTTGCTATCAATCTCACCCTTACACTTTCTGGGTGAATTGCCAGAAGAATTTTCTCTTTGAACACCGCTTTGATTTGATGAAATTGTTTCTCTCCCAGCTGTTTCTCGAGCTCTGGCGATAGAAGCACGAAATGCTTTCGATTAGTGTATGGTACAGTCTCCAAATGCCCATAGTACACGGTTATTTATTTTTTTTTTTTTGGACAAAGGCATGCACATATAACAATTTTACTCGGTTATCAAAACCCCTGAACCCACCCACCAAAGTCACAGTCAAAACTATCCTTGGTTTCTTGTACCATCTTCGAGGCCCTCGTGACCAAAAATGGTTAACTTTGGATCGATCCACAGAGTAATATCTTTTTATACCATGAAGAAAAGGACTGTATTGGTTCTGCTCGAGTCCAAATTCAAAACCCAAGATCCTACAAGTTGGTGAAGAAGAAAAAGCAAACCCAGAACCCCGAGATTGATTCAAATTGGGTGTAGAAGAAAACTGGTGGTTGGTTTTTTGAATGGACTCTCGAATTGGGTTTGTGGGGCGAATTGGATTTTTGGGTACAATCTTTGAAGTGAAGTTTCGAAGCGCGTCGAAAGCATACTTAGATCTTCTGCTCCACCCCATGCTCTTAGAGAGATACTATAAAATCAGTCAGACCTCAAACATGTGTATCACAGAAAACCATTCAAAAGCTGACTTNCATTTTGAAATATTATGGAATATCTTGAAATATTAAAATTTTAATTCTATCATTGAGTCGTTTTGTTCTCCATGAAAACAAAAACTTTTTGAACTTTTCGATCATTTCAAAATAAAATTTTAATCCTTAGGGAGGACACGTGTGTGATACGACTACAAAGAATAAGCGGGTCTCATTTTAATTTAAGGTCATAACAGGCGAGAAGCTATTTTTGGCCAAAATCATATTCAAAATATTTTTTGTTGTAAGTAAATGATTTTCATTAGGAGTGGTTAGGTAGCTTGTGAAGTTCAAATTTAGGTTTAGTTATCCGAAAACATCCGTGAAAGTTAATTTTTCCTAATTTTAATCACTCACTAATTTCAATTCCAACCACTTTGTATGTGGAACCTATAATTGATGTGGGGGGATTAGCAATATGGAGAAAATTGGGAGTCAAGGTNTTTTTTTTTCCTTATATAAAGTACTTTTTTCCGGTGAACATCAGAGAGAGAGAGAGAGGGGTATGCGAAAGACGTGAACTTTGAGTGATCTGCCGATGAATTGAAATGGATAATACGGTGACGGGTGTGTTGATCGGGGAGTGGAGGCAGCTGTGAACGTGTCTAGAAGTCGTCTTGACATGTTTCGGTGTTTTGAAGTGGCGCCTTGCGAAGTTTCGTTTGGGACACAGCGGTGGACCGTGTTTTTTTTTTTTTATCTCATTTACGTCAAAAATATTACGTTAAGAGTATCTCTATTTATAATTCGTCAATTTTACCACTTTAATAACAAGGATAAATAGGATTATGAATATAATTTTCATATTTTTTCAAAATTTACCCAATTCCTATCATTTTATTTATATAATCATGCATGATTACAATTGTATTTTGTTATGTATACATGGTATGTTAACTAGATTCAATTAGCTCATTTATTAAACATATATAATAAAATCTCAATTTNATGAATATAATTTTCATATTTTTTCAAAATTTACCCAATTCCTATCATTTTATTTATATAATCATGCATGATTACATTTGTATTTTGTTGTGTATACATGGTATGTTAACTAGATTCAATTAGCTCATTTATTAAACATATATAATAAAATCTCAATGTATCGCTCAAATCTTCATAGATATAGACAAAATCATGAATGTGGCAAGGGATTAAATAACAATTTGATAAAATAGAATATGGGTATATCAAATTAACAAAATTGTCAGGGCTCTGAAGCAAACCAATGCTCTCTTCATTACTTGAAGTTACACAACAGGTTCAGAGCTCTTCATCTGCTGCGGTTGTTGCCACGACCTCTCCCTCCGGTAGGGCCTTTGGAAAATCTCTGATTTCCTCGGTCAGAAAAACCACCCCTTCCTCCGGAGAATCTACCGCCTCTGCCACCTCTTCTATCAGCAAAACCACCACGACCACCATTTCCAAATCTTCCCCCTCTTGATTGATCTCTCTCCTGCAACTGTGGCAATGATTTCACCACCTCTAAGCTCACACCAGCACCATTTTCCTGGCCTGCAACCCCCCAAGATGGGAAAAATAACGATAAAATCTTAGCAGACCTGTGTCGATTTTATAAACTAGTATTTCTCACTAACTAAAGTAAAATTCAAATGGGGCAATGGAAATCCTGGTTGTGAAACATTGTTTCGNACGATAAAATCTTAGCAGACCTGTGTCGATTTTATAAACTAGTATTTCTCACTAACAAAAGTAAAATTCAAATGGGGCAATGGAAATCCTGGTTGTGAAACATTGTTTAGAAGTATCTAGTGCATGAAATATATCTGATGAATGGTGGTGCCAAATTGTAGTCGTATTTGCCAGCAAGAAAGGTTCCCTCTCTTGTAAGGCATTCCCCTATTTACACACTTAATTATCAGGGAAAAAATGTACCAGCAAGGAATGTGTCCAAATCTTCAGCGGGCACATCAAACACCGCCCCCTTTCCATCAGCAGTCAGAGCAAGACCCATAATTGACTCAACTTTCTCTTCAGGTAAAAACCTCCTCAGGACACCGTAAGCAAAGCTGAAATATCATTATGTCAACATGATGTCAATAGATCAAAGTGTACAGAGAACATACTAGAATTCCCCCCCCCCCTTCTCTTGTTCTCTCCTATTCTCTCTCTTTTTGAGCAGTCGTAAGAGAGAATAGTAAGCCCTGCTAAACAAATTTCCCCTTGATTTATGACAGTACAATACAATGTGCAGATTATCAATATCACCAGCCAGTATTATGTTCATATGCAACTTCCAGGCCAGCAATGCTAAATGTTGTTTCAGTTTACAGCAAGTGCTAAATGTTGCACATCCCAATACACAGCATGAAAACTTTGCAATTGCTCAAAGAAACTAAATATCATGGTGTTCAACAACTTGCTTCCGAGCCTCAAATGAAGCAAGGATTCTTTAGTTCTTTTATGTGCTAGACCCCCCCACCACCAAATAGTTTCCACCCATAAAGATTACCAGCACTGAAAAACTTAAAAGGTGAGTGAACTTGTTAGTTGTCACTAAACCATGATAAAACCACAACACAATTCAGTACACAAATCTAAAAAGTAAGAGAATGTGTTTCAGGGGCTCACGAAGGCGTATAGATAGATCCTCCAGCCTCAAGAAGTACAGTGACATAGTTCTCCATGGAATTGAGAAGTGATCTACTCGTAATCTCACTATATCCCTGTAAAACAAGTAGGAGGGCCATTTTTTTAGCCACAGTTATAACCTGAACTTCAGAATTACATGGAAAAAAGAAACAGAACTCACAGCAGCCTTGGCAAGTGCCTTTGCAAGCAGTTCCACAGGTGATAAACCAGAGGTATTCAGTAGTTCCTCAGCTGCGGCTTTGAAGGACGGAATAACACTACAGAATTTTCACAGTATAAATGAATATATGGAGAGACAGAATTTAAAGCATTTATTAAACAATACAAATGGCAAGTTACCTATCAGAGATTTGGGTGATTGTTTCTGCTGCTTCTATGCCAGCAGCTTTAGCAATATCAGCCGGCTGAGGAGCAGATATGTACTCAAATTTCACACCGGATTCTCTTTCTATCCTAGAAAAATTCGACTTCCTGGGATCATACAGCATCACAGCAATACCCGTATTCCCTGGAAAAAAAATAATGCAATTCAACTCAGTCATCAAACTCCAACCATTCAAATATTCAAGATCAAAAAAATTCCAAATATCAGCAAATTCACCTGCCCTCCCTGTCCGTCCAGATCGATGAATATATGCTTCAACATCACGTGGAGGTTCACACTAAAGAATAAACACAAATTGATGTCCAAATCAAGGTGGATATCTTCAATATATATGTGATTTGAAATCCCAAATAGTTATAAACTACGTATGATTTTAAAGACAAACCTGGATTATCAATTGGACATCATTAATGTCCAATCCCCGCGCAGCTACATTTGTGGCTACTAATGTCAGGAACTTGCCTGATCTGAATCCAACTAGTGTAACCTGGAAGTGTTGCACCACATTCCAATTCATCAATAAAAAAAATTTACATACAAAATCTAGGATGTATGGTGAAAGATACACTCCTTCATGCGTTCAACAGCACAATAAAACTCAAGTTGAATTGTACTGTAAAATATCTACACACAATCAATTAAAGATTGCAAGTGATGTTGAAGCAGCTAAAAACATGATGGCACCTATTTAGCTGAGAGCAATGACAGCCGATATATGCATATCTTAAAAAAATCATTTCAATTATTACCAAACGTTTTACCTACGATGCTTAGTTTGGATACATTCTCAAAACACCTTTGACTATATTTATACACTAGCAATCACCTCATGCAATGCACAAACTAATAATGAGAAATTGCATAAGTGGGAAGTTATTCAAGACATAAATATAGGAAATTGAAGAGAGAGAGAGAGAGAGAGAGAGAGAGAGAGAGACATGTGATAAATATCAGTTTCAAGCTGATTTTTTCATTTAATGCAATTAATAATTTCAATAACTAAAAGAGGCCAACCATAAAAAGTCATGTAATATTTTAAAGAATTAAAAAAACATAAATGTAGAAAGTTAGGATTGATGTTTTGAAGCTCATTGGGATGACCAACTACTTTGCTATCTATATATAGTTAGATGAGAATAAATAGGAACTTTCTTCCAGAAAAAAGGAAAATGAAAATCCTGGAAGAAACAAATTTAAGAAGTAATTTACACATTACCGTCCAGTTTACAAATGAGAAATCAATAAAAAAGCAGTAGAATGGGTATTTCTTTTACCTCACGTTGAGCCTGTTGTATGTCCCCATGCAAAGCACGTGCTCCAGGCAATAAGCCAGCAAGTCCAGAAGCAGAATCTTTTGTCTCGGTGAAAATAATTGTGCGACCTCCACTGAAGCAATAACATCCAATAAGATATGAAAAGGAAAGAAGTATTCAACAGCTTTATAAATACCATTTGAAATTCGTAATAAAAAAATAGATGGGCCGACCTGCTATAACAGCGAATGATATCAGGAATAAGCTGGGATCTGGCTGAAGCAGAGCAGGGAAGAACAATATGCCTCACATTGGTACTAGCCTTCATTTTCTCATTACCAACAAGGNCTGAAGCAGAGCAGGGAAGAACAATATGCCTCACATTGGTACTAGCCTTCATTTTCTCATTACCAACAAGGTCTGCAGTCTTTTTGTCTGGTTTCAGGAACTTAGATGCAATCTGGCCATGCAAAACACAGGTTTAAGTGAGATTGGATAAAAAGATGGTATGAGAGGTCAGACAAGGGAAACTGAGGTACATCTGAAATCACAGAATAAGTTTTATAGGAATCAATCAGAAACAATAATTCTAAAGAAAGATGTCAGAAAAGAAACAAACATGTTTCACCCAATCTGGCAAGGTGGCACTGAAAAGAAGTGTTTGGACTTTGCTTGCATCCTCTACCTTACCTTCAAAATTCAAAAACTGGGAATTACTAATACCTTTTCCGGTCCATATCATCGAAGCCCACACAGAAAACACCAGTTATATTGTGTCACATATAAAAAGATATTGATACTGCACAGTACTCTATAATATGGTCCAAAAAACTCGATTAAAATCAAGCCAAAGTACAGGATAGGATTAATGACATACCTAGAATAAGTTCAACATCTTCAACGAACCCCATCCTCAACATTTCATCAGCTTCGTCAAGGACACGGAACTTTAATGAGCTGAAGTCAATATTTCCCCGTTCTATGTGATCCTACACAGATTTTGAGGGAAGTTGATGTCACCAATATCAAATGCAAAAAAATCAATTTTGAAATTATTAGGGTTCAAATATCAAATTAATGAGAAGGTTACCTTAACACGGCCAGGCGTTCCCACAACTATATCAACCCCTCTTTTCAATTGCATTTGTTGAGAATGGTAAGGAGCTCCCCCGTATAAACAGCATGAACATAGCCCTAATGCCCTACCATAGACTTCAAAGTCAGCAGACACCTATAATTGAAAACAAATAATTAGAAAATTGAGTCTGGAAAGGACATTGTCAAAAGATAAAAAGTTCCTTACACTGGTGATTGCACAATACCTGAATGGCCAGTTCCCTTGTGGGTAGAAGTACAAGAACGCTCGGTGCCCTCCCATATCCAGTCTTTCGTGAAGCTTTTGTAGGTCCATTTATTAAGGACTCCAATATGGGCAATACAAAGGCCAATGTTTTTCCCTATATGATTGTAAGCATAACAAAAGAACTAGCATTGGATACATGACCAAGCAGTAAATGAACAGCAAGAAATTTGAAATTGAAAAACAAAAATGGCAATCAAACTTATTCCCAATTAACTACGAGTAATAAAATAGCTCACAAGTTGAATTTTATCCCCTACATATTTTCCCCAAAAAAATATCACATCACCAATTTCTATCACATGCTCAATTACTTCAATATTTGATTAATTNCGAGTCAACAACATAATCACTTACAAGTAGGGATCCAACATACTTACAACTAATATATATATATATATAATAAAATAGCTCACAAGTTGAATTTTATCCCCTACATATTTTCCCCAAAAAAATATCACATCACCAATTTCTATCACATGCTCAATTACTTCAATATTTGATTAATTTAAAGTTTTATATAAATTTTATTTCACATATTATTCATACACTATTGTATACATATGGTGAGAATTTTTTTCAAATTATGTATTTTAAAAAAAAGTTGTCTATATTTTTAAGAAAATAATGGATAAACAAAGAAAATTTATTATTTAATATAGTGAAATAAATTTTTTTTAGCCTCGAATTTTATATTTCATCGTACTTTCGGGCATAGGTTATGACTAGTATATATATATCAGCTAGCAAGTTGAATTTTATCTCCTATACATTTTTTCTCCAAAAAAATTACATCACCCNAAAATAAATTTTTTTTAGCCTCGAATTTTATATTTCATCGTACTTTCGGGCATAGGTTATGACTAGTATATATATATCAACTAGCAAGTTGAATTTTATCTCCTATACATTTTTTCTCCAAAAAAATTACATCACCCAATTCTATCACATGTTCAATCATTTAATATTTAGTTAATTTGTAGTTTAACACAACTTTTATTTCATACATTATTCATATACAATAGTGTATACATGTAGAAAAAAATTTATCGAGTTATGCATTTGAAAAAATTTTGACGTTATTTTTAAGAAAATAATAAGTAGAAATTAATTTTAAATGATGTACGCAAATAAATTACTTTTAAATTTGGTATAGTGGAATCAATTTTTTGAACGCTAGAATCNCGAAAAAAATTTATCGAGTTATGCATTTGAAAAAATTTTGACGCTATTTTTAAGAAAATAATAAGTAGAAATTAATTTTAAATGATGTACACAAATAAATTACTTTTAAATTTGGTATAGTGGAATCAATTTTTTGAACGCTAGAATCTTAAATTTCATCGTGTCTTGAGACATGAGTTATGACTAGTGTGTATATATATGAAATCCTGGTCAGTTTNTCTTAAATTTCATCGTGTCTTGAGACATGAGTTATGACTAGTGTGTATATATATGAAATCCTGGTCAGTTTTATTCGATAGACTACATTCATAGGTTACAAAGTCGTATGTATCTAGACCAAACTTCTAATGAGTGCATATGCAGCTACTTTTTGGTGAGTGAAAACCTGTAGAGGGTAGGACAAGAAAAGAGCTTATCCTTGTGCAATCTGTTCCCAAACTTCCTCTTCATACATATTAAAAAGGGGAAGAATTGGCAAAGCTCACAGGACACAGCATTTTGGATGCTACTACATGAGCTAATAACTTGCATTTACTTACTGGAGCAGGCCCATGTTATACCCCTCCAATGCACAACTTAAGCAAGCCAAAAGTCCCATGAAGCTTATACTCCCATTTAGGGATGCAAATTTCAGACACAAAACAAACCTTATACAAAATTAGTGGATTGAATTGGTTAGAATAGACAAGTAATACCAAAAATTACACAAATAATAAATGGATCATGTTAGAGTGAAAACATGAATAAACTGATTTCAATACGACAAACCCATTCAGAAGAACATGTTTAACTTTTTGTTTTTATTTTGTAGCCACATATTGTATCAATCCTTTGTAACATTAGAACCATTTTTAACTTGGTTCTGCTAATATTTGGATAAAATAGATTTTAAATTTATAGGGCACATTAGAACCATTTTTAACTTGGTTCCGCTAATATTTGGATAAAATAGATTTTAAATTTATAGGGCTCTTTGGGTAACAGATATAGCTGGGTCACTTAGCTAAAAGATCAGGTTAGTTTCAGATCATCCAGCACAACTAAGTAAACATCTCGCACAAGGAGTAACTAGTTTTCAATACAAAATCAACATGATAGGACCCAATCATAATGTGACACAACTAAAGTCCCACCTTTGGTCTTCTATCTAATCTTGGATAAGCTTACCCCATGCACTTCAGGAGTAGGTATTTGAAATATGCAAAACAGTGATTTCCCACCAGTCAAAATGTGCAGTACACTGGGGAAGGATCTAAACCAAACCCAAAAGGCAAAAATTGACAGCACAACAATTGTCACTGAGGTTCGACATAGTAAGGATTCACTTAAAGGGTGAAAATATTAAGCTATGCAACCTACTCATTTGCCAGCAACAGCTAAACCAAAAACCCCAACTTTAATCCCTTGTACTAGCGACTCGACAAGACTTCAAACATATTCAGTTCATGGCACTCTTTAGGCCCCACGTTAGAACTTCTACTTTCAAAATAATTAACATCATTCACTTCTTTCAAGCGACAATGCAAAAGTGAACAATCTCATCCTTATCATTCAAAATTGTCATTCTAGCATCATGAAGAAAATGCACAACCCAGAACTTTAGAAGGAAAAAAAAAAATCTCACTCAACTACTTGCAAACCATTCAAATGATAACCTAGCACAAACTATAAGAACAAGCACATAAAATAAACAAACCATTCTCATAACTCTTACCTGACCGGTACGTGCCCTGCCAACCAAATCCGAACCATCCAAAACAGTATCAAAAGTCATAGCTTGTATAGGAAACAAAGCCTCAATCCCTTTAGCCTTCAATGCCTCTCTCAGTGGCTTCGAAATCCTAAATTTTGATACCGCATTCGGACTCTCCTCTTCCTTAACATCATCATCATCCATCTCAGTCAACACAATCATCTTCCTCTTCTTTCTCTGCTCTTCCACCTTCAGATTTATAGGTTCGCCCTCCTCCGAGCTCGTCTCACTCTTCTCTTCATCACCATCAATTTCCAACACCTTTCGCTTCTTCTCTTTCTTTTTACTACTCTTTTTCTCCAACCGGCTCTGTTCCGAATTTTCAGAATCAGACTCCGAGTCTTTCGAACTTGTCATCAACTTCTTTGATTTTTTCTCTTTCTTGCTCTTCCTATCGGCTGGGGAGTCGAATTCTAGGGTTTCGACGTTCTTCATCTTCTTCTTCTTGTCCTTCTTTTCTTTGGGGATTTCGGGGAGAGTTTCGGATACAGCCAGAGAAGGCATTGTGATATATATGAATAAACGTATATGTAGATGTGGAGAAAGTAGAGAGAGCGAGAGAGAGACAACAGTGTTGGAAGATTTCTCCTGCTACAACGGGTGTGGCAGTGAATTGCAGTAGCAGGAGAAAAGAGAAGGAAGGAGGTGTAGGGTTTGTGTATTTATAGGTGCGTTAGTGGATAGTTTGTGGGCCGTTGGACGGCGAAAACCGTCGCGAATGAGTTTTTCACCGTTAGATGGAAAAACATCCAGACCGCTGACTGAGGAGAAAGGTTTTGTAATTGTATGAGGTAATACACATGGGACCCTTCTACTTGGTGATCCTTACACATCGCCCCCCTTAATTATGTTTTGTGGCAATAAATCTCTTTTACCTTGTTGATCAAAATGAAAATAATAACTTCTTTTTTGTCGGATTTAACGATACAGATTGCACACGTGTCCAATACTTTGTTTTGTTATACAAATATTTGAAATTGATTTATTTTTATTTTTGATAAATAAATCGAATTTTATTGATTGTAATTGAAGCTCTGATACAAGAGAGAGAAAAAAAAAAAAACTTCACCGTTGAGCTTGTTTCCATAGTATTTTCATATCATAAAGAATTATTGATGATGCACAAATTAGTCTTGTACAAGATCAATAGTCGAGTATCTGAATGGGTGTAATTAATGAGTAATAAATAAAATGATTAATGACAAAACATAAAATATAAGCAAACACAAATATATATAGTGGTTCGGTCCAGATGACTTACTCCATTCTTGAGAAACAACAACGATAGCCGGAATTCTTTATTGATGAATAAAATAACTAGGAGAGTATACTTTGAGGGAGTTACAATGTTTTAAGAGATAGAAACTTGGTGTGTAAAGAGATATAGAGAAGTGTGTGCAATATAGAGGTGTCTCGAGATTTCAAAGTGATGTCCTCTATGTGAAAAGGACTTACATTATATAAGTATGGTGAGGTGGTGAGAGAGAGGGCACTATTCTTTTAGTAGTGCAATCAAGGTAAGATTGGTTTTTCATGAGTGTGTATTTCGATAGTTTCTCTCGCGTGCTCTTATCTCTCTANTATTCTTTTAGTAGTGCAATCAAGGTAAGATTGGTTTTTCATGAGTGTGTATTTCGATAGTTTCTCTCGCGTGCTCCTATCTCTCTAAACTTTTTAAATCTTGAACTGAGTCAGACTCGATCAGACTGTCAAAGTGGGTCTGGACCGCCCTTTAGTTGACATTTAGGCCTTCTTAATTTATTAGGTCTAATTCAATTGATTTTGAACTCATCATTTATAATCGCTATTAATACATAATTCAAACTCATCCCCGATTTGTGTGAACATTTGTTTCCGTTGTTGTTGTTGGACCTACCAATAAGCAACTGTTATGTCATATCTTTACTTACAAAAAAAACATATTTGACCTTGATATAATCCACTCCATTTAGTAAAGAAAGGATGTTCTAGTTATTTGGGAAGCTTATACAATCGTCGGTCATTTACCGCTATATAATACCATGCATTAGGTGGTATTGAACATGCTCATCTATATGAGTTTATGTCAACGGTAGATACCGGGTTAATATAACAATTCAAAAATTAGTACAGAATGTCAACGGTAAATACAGGATCAATATAAAAAGTCAAAAATTAGTACCAGACAATATTAACTAAATAAATAGGCTCAAGTACTATTTTAAAATATCTCACATATTTGGAGAAGGCTATGGTACAGTGCTCCCAAAATTCGATACCGTACCAAAAAAGTGTAAGGTCTTGTCAACCGAAAGTTACCCACTAAAATCAATAATTTTGTCTATAAAAGTTATAATATTGTAATTTAACTTATAATAGTTATAATTTTGTCTTTAAATATAATAATATTATCTTAAAAAATTGTAACCTTCCTTCCAAAAACTATAATGTCACCTCTAAAAGTGATATCTTTATCTCTACAACCTGTATCTTAACTATAAATGATTGTAACCTTACATCTAAAAATAGTAATTTTACCTAATTTGGATCGATCATGATAATTTAGGATCGATCTCAATACCTCTAATGGATCCATTTTTTTTTTTGCGATTCCACTTAATTAGAATCGATCACAATGCCTCTGATAGATCCAATTTATTTTTTTTACTCAATTAGGATCAATCATGACTATCTGAGATCAATCCAAATTAACCTTTAATGTTAAATTGATGAAATTAACCTTTAAATTAATGTTTAATATCAATTTGATGAATTTTAAATTTATAATTTTGTATGTTAATTTAATACAATTGAAGGTCAATCTAATGTTATTTTTGACGAATTGAGTGTTAGTTGGATAAAATACAAAATTAATTTCATAAAATTATGTGTTAATTTGATGTAAACTAAATATAGAATCAGGACCAATTCAGGAAAAAAAAAAAAAAATTCAGCTAGTCATAATCGATCCTATCTAATTGGAAGCACAAGAAATTTAGTTTGGAAGAATTTTTGGACCATCAAATACATTAAGATTGATCTCAAATAGTCATGATCGATCCTAATTGAGTAGAACCGCAAAAAAAAAATTTGGATCCATTAGAGGCATTGGACCGATCCTAATTGAGAGGAATCGCAAAAATAAAAAAAAATAAAAATTGGATCCATCAGAGACATTGAGATCGATCCTAGATTATCATGATCAATCCAAATTAGGTAAAATTACTATCTTCAAATATAAGGTTACAATCATGGTTAAGATACAACTTATATGGATAAAGATACCATTTTTAGAGGTGATGTTATAACTTTTGGAAAGAATGTTACAATCTTTCAAAGTAAAACTATTATCTTTGGAGGTGAGGTTATAATCGAGGCTAAATTATATTTTATATAGGTGAAATTATAACTATTTAAAATTAAGTTACAAGTCATAAAGGTAAAAGTACCACAACAAAACGACGACTGAAGTTTCAATCTCTTGAGGTAAATTTACAACCCTTTAAGATAATATATATTTAGAGACAAAATTATAACTATTATATGTAAAATTACAATGTTTACAAAAAAAAAATGATACAATTTTTATAAGCAAAATTACCACATTTAGTGAGTAACTTTCGACTGACAAGACCTCACACACCTTTTTAGTGCGATACCAAATTTTGGAAGGGTGGTATCATAACCTTCCCCCAAATACTTGGTCCCATTTTTCTTGGTATAAGCTAATGCAGTTCATGATCACTACGTCGTCTTAATAAGCTTACATGTTTAGATGGGTACAGTTTTCAATTTCCGAACACATAGCAAAATCTATATTGTTGGACCTTCTGTCACTTCCAACGAGTGATATAAGAATCATTCTACACCAGAACAATCCCGATAAGTAGTATCATAACCGATGCCCAACAGTACACATGAATCTCGGCTAAGTTAAATACCGTACAGGTATTAATGATGATTCTTAAAGAAGCAAGTACGTGATAGACTTTGGAGCTGAATTCACATTATTGGCATGCTAGACGAGCGACTGGATTAGCCTCCAAGTTTGGGGCGCCAATTGTATTGAATTAAATGGGTGATGAATAAAAAATATATAAATTTATACACGATATATTTAATAAATAGATAAAAAATTTTAAAATAAACAAGATACGACTCGTTTAACCCGTTTAATTTTAAAAAAATTATATCAATAAATTTTAATATTCTATTTTTTTTTATTCTCAATTATACTTACCTCAAAAAAGAAAATTTTTTAGTCAAATCTCATAAAAATAATACTTCAAGGCTTAAAAAAAGAAATGAGATCATTGTCTTTTATAAGCAACTCAACTCTCCCCATCTCCCTTCATTTTTCAATGAGGGACAAAAATAAAAAGTATTGGTTTACCTTTGTCTTTGAAGTGCTCCTCATCTCCTCTCCTTTGTCTTTGAACTATTGTTTTATTTCTTTTTTTTATTGATTTCTTTACTTCTTTTTTTCTTACTAATTTTTTTAAATAATTATTAATTTATTATTATATTAATTTTATTTAAACAAGTAAACATATGATAAACGGTTTAGGTCTCACTTGAACATGACTCATTTATTAAACGTGTTTGGCGTGTCAACACGTTTATCACCTAAACCCGTTAAAATCTCACTCAAACCCGCTTAATTCTTGTCAATTCGTATCATGTCGAATTTTGACAGTCATACTCCAAGCCCTCTCCAAGGGTACAATTTGGACGAGTTAACTCAAATTCAACCAGAACCCAATTCAAAAAAAACAAGGCTTGAATTAAAATTTTTAATTCTTGAGTTGGGTTTGAGCAAAAAATCTCAACTCAAATTGAATTTGGGCAAGTCTTAGATTGAGGTCTCGAGTTGTCAGGTTCAACTCGAATATACATAAATATATTTAACTAAGGTTAGTATTTATCTTCACTTTTAGAGTTCAGACTTTCACTTCACTTCACTTCAACTTTTAACCCTTACGCCTCCTTCACTCTCAAATCCCTTTTTTCACTCATCATTCTTCCCTCTCTTAGCCTCTCTCCCTTAATCGTCACTCGTCTGAGTCGTTTCAGACTCTCAACCTCCATCTCTCTTTATCTACGTCTCGCCTCTCATTTCAGATCACTTGAAAAAATCAAATCTATAATTGAAAAATCAAATCTTTACTTCAAAAAATTAACTAGAATTAAGTAATTCAAGTCAACTCAATTTTTAACCAAAAATCAGCCCGAATTAAGTAATTCGAATTTAACCCGAACCTACCCAAATTAATCTCGGACAGTACTCGAATTGAATACCTTGAGTTGATATAAGATTAGACTTGAAAATTATATATCTAGTGTTGGACTAGAGTTGACCTCTCAACCCGTCTAACCCACCCGAGTTGCACCCCTAGCCCTCTCCATCCATCCAACAATACGATGAAAGAGTCATGAATGATTAAATTATTCACTTACCTCCACTTCGCAGAGTAAAAGAGAGGAACCCAACAACTTGGTTTTTGGAAGAGAAAATTCTTACAAATAGTTATTTAGACGCGGTGCTTGTAAAGGCAAGCATAACAGAGATCACACATGAGTAACAATATCACATCAAAATAAAGACAAAAAAAAAAACACATGAATAGACTCATTATCTATCGATTGAAATTCTCATGCATGGTATCAATTCAAATATGCATAAAGCCTTATGTGTCACTTATATATCAACTTTATCACACAATGGACTACTACCC